ACCTGATTATCGAACTGTCGAGTTAATCTATCTTAACGCAAATATAAAAGCTGTTTTAAAACGAAACATTACGTGTTGATTATTATAATATATTTTTAATATTATAGCTAGAACTAAAAACGTTTTAAAACCAAAATTACAATCTTGAGAAATCGAACGTTGTATTTACATCGTTGTTGGAAAATGGGATACTAAAATATCGATATAGTAATGAGGTTTCAGATATACTATCTGTCCAATCACAATAAAGCACTTATGAGTTTTAAAAATTCATACACGAAGTACATCATGCTCAATTTGTATATAAAAAAAGAGAGATTATAAATTGAAATAGTTCTTACTTTTTATTTTGGCTAGCATGATGAGTTTCATCTACCTGTGGTGCTTTGGAAAAAAAACGTTTCGAACTGCCAGCAAAGAACATCATCAGGTCAATGTAAAAAAAAACCCACGGAAAAGTTAAATAATAGAATGTAGACACGGCCGTGAAGGAGAGCTAATCAGCGTGAACCGGATGAAGATTTGCGCAAACTCAATCAATCGTCATCTCCAAACCATAACTACAACAAATAAATAACGCTTGCAAGGCAATCCAAAACGAATAATTACCCACGAACTAAAATATCTTTGGAATAGTGATTACTTTTAATGAAACAGTTTTTAAAGTGCACAAAGAAAGCATGATCAGTTTATATGGGTTATGAGATTATTGTTAATTCTACCAAATATGCTTGGTGATTTTGTTTGAAGTAAGCAGACATATTTACTGTACTACTTTTAAATCAATGCTCTTAACAGAATAACAGTCAATATATCAAACTCAAATGTGCAAACGTTTTTTTTCTCTCTGAATAAATTTTATATTTAACTTAATTTTCTTGGTTAGGATATTTACTTATGGCGAACAAAAATTTACATTTCCAGGAAAAGCTGACAAAAATGGTAATAGATGATGGAAACTTACCCTAGAAATGGAAATGATATGCATTTTCATGATCCTATGATGAAGTAATTTAAGTGATAATTCAATCATATATCACGCTATGAGAGGGCAGTTTACATATATGACTTCACGCTTTGTAATATTATTGGAATGAAAAACTCTACCAAAACATAAAATATAGTTCCTCCGCTTGATGTAGTTCCGAAAATAAAATAAAAATACATAGTAAAGCAGTAAATACAGTCACAATACTTAATATTAAATAAAATATTAGTGTCAATGTTAATATATAAATAATGGGGATTTCTTCAACGTTTCTGAGACCTCAGAAGATTTTGCAACGCCAGTGAAATACACTAATTGTCATTAGAAAATTTTATATTTATACTAAAATTGTATACTTCTTAGTGTGTCTTCTTATTCTAGACCTGGCATGGTCCGATGGTTAGGTCACTCGGCTCGCAAACTTAAGTTCTCAGGTTCGAATCCCCGTCACCGAACACCCTCGCCCCTTCAACCGTGGTGGCGTTATAATGTGACAGTTAATCCCACTACTCGTTGGTAAAAGGGCACCCCAAGAATTGGCGATGGGTGGTGTTGACTAGCTGTTTTCCGTCTAGTCTTTCGCTAATAATGGTCCTCGTGTAGCTTTGCGTGAAAAACAAGACAAACCAAACTCTTATATATATTGCCTCATTGATCATTTAAAAGCAAGAAATTTTAGTAATTTTTCTGATGAGTAGAGAAATACACGATAGGAAAATCATAGCAAAAATGATGTTACATAAGAAACAATATACCTGTTGCTTAACTTGAAATATGATAATAATTTCAAGATATTTCTGATTGTGTTTGGATAACATTTAGGGTTTTTTTAGAGGTTATCTAACAGTCAAACGCCACAAATACCAAACTTAGTGTAAGCAAAATACTTTACGTATAATTCCGTTCTACAGAGCATAATGTGTTAATATACATACGTATTCATGGGCTAAATTCTCAGTTCAGTGAAAACTATCAAAAATCATGTTTTTTGAGGTTGTATCCCAATCTTTCGTGTTTACTGTACAACTTTCCTGACGATTAAATTTATAACATCGGAATTCTTCACTTAATACCAGTTGGATGTTGCTGTTATAGACCAAACTTTGACTCAACCACATATCAAAAGTACTGCATGCTAGATTGAGTTTAGCTGAAACTCAACTCAACAACTTTTCTTCCCCACCATTCGTAATAAAGATTCATCAACTGTCTACGACGGTTACTTAGAGACACAGAACAGAAAGGACAGGAAAATATTCAAGAAAGGCAAATTTTTGTTTGGATGAAAGAAGAGCTTAAAGAGTGGAACAGTATTCTTGGTGGAATAGATTAGACGTACATACAGAACATCAGTCGCATGCACTTTTGTAAAGTTTACGAATGTTATTCAACCAATAGATTCGCCTCCATACATTTGAGTCAATCATCTGGTCTAAGAAAGTTACCATATTTTATATATTGTTCGATATGTTTGAATTAAAAACTGGCGTCGGAACTCATATTTCTATACAAATGTGAAAATTGAGTCGTATCTGTAAATCCGATGTATTGAAAGTTAGAGGGGTGTAAGGTTAAGAACTAAGAGTATCCTATGGACACATAAAGAAATTACAGATGGAAGGCATCACGTATAGTAATAATCGATGTATTTTTCGGAAAGCTCTATTCATTTATAAATAACAAAATGAACGTAATTCGAGACCTTCGGAACTCCATGATCAGTAAGCTAAAGATACGTAAAGATATGGTAATTACACCAAGAATGTGACATACTCTATAACAATCGACATTAAGCAATTTAATCACAAGAAAAGAAGAAAATGAACAGTATGTAATGCAAATTAAATGACACTTATTAAAAAATATTTAAATCAAATAAAGAATGTGTATTATTTAGATACGGAAGAATTAAATGACACTTATTAAAACATATTTAAATCAAATAAAGAATGTGTATTACTTAGATACGGAAGAATTAAATGACACTTATTAAAACATATTTAAATCAAATAAAGAATGTGTATTACTTAGATACGGAAGAATTAAATGACACTTATTAAAACATATTTAAATCAAATAAAGAATGTGTATTAGTTAGATACGGAAGAATTAAATGACACTTATTAAAACATATTTAAATCAAATAAAGAATGTGTATTATTTAGATACGGAAGAAAATAGTTAATGTGTAACGTTTCTTTGATCAGAAGTTCAGTTTTATACTTAGTTATTGAGAGGATTTTAAAGTTTGAGAGAGAAATCGGTTGTCCTGTTTCTGTATTATGTTGGTAGATAGCAGAGTTTGGAGGGTTAGTAACGTCCAGTTTTTATCGATATACGTGCATTTTTTTAATTCCTATTGTTTACTGTCGTTTATTACGGAGCATATCACTTTCTTGGTGAAATTTCCTTTGTGTAGTTTTGAATTACTAGCTTACTGACGATGGAATTCTGAAGATTTCGAAACGTTTCATATTAATACGTTCGCGTTGTTATTTATAATTATGTATAGTATTTATAGATTTTATAAGAAAATTATGCAAGACACATCTATACGCAATTTATAAAAAAATATTTCAGACTACAAAAAGTAGCTTCAGAAGACATAAAAAGAAGGATACTACTTAGTTACAGTATTGAATTCAAAAACTGAATCAAGTCAACTGACAATGTATTTGCCACGAAAAACAAAAGTGATGTTTGTAGTAAATCCAAGTAAAAGAATAATTACGTATAATTCATCCGAAAGTTGTCCTTACAGACTATTGATATTCTAGATCGATTTCTTCACGACGTTAGGAAATCACATGCCTTCAAGTAACCAACTACGGACAAAAAATATGAAACCCTGTAACCCGACCGCCTGCAAAAAAGGGGGGACTTTTCTTCATCAAGGGCAAACTAGGAATGAAAAGGCATTTTTTAAAATTTAACACAGATATGTTTTAGAATTTCTAAGCTCGTCTCCTTTACTTGAAACAAAATGAGGAAAGGTGTTTAAATACGAGGTTTTTCCACACTTACGGTCCTTTTCATGAATGTTTTGGTACGCCATAAAGGCATTAGGGCCGAAATTTTTAGAAATATTGTTGAGCACGAGGTTTTTCTATAACGACTTGTAATACGACAGTTCGACAGTCTACTGGGATGTGACACGGGATTTAAGTTAATTTACCTTTTGAATTTTACTTTATAAATAAACTGAAATAATGTACGGTATCTCTATTGACTACCACATGCAAAAATGTAAAAGAAAGTGCATGTGAAGTACATTAAAGATATATATTGAAAGTACGGCATCAGATATACGTAAGTTAATAACGGTTGAATTCTTAAGTTTACCTATCTCTACCAAAACCTTTTTTTTCTTCTTACGTTCTGTCCACAACGATAAAATTTTGTTCACTATTGTACTGTCTCATAAAAGATATAAAAACCAAGCAAAAACAATTATTCGGTGTTTAGCAACGGATGGTACAAACGGGAGTTATGAAGACTGAATACAGTAAACATATATATTTTATGTTCTTCACTTCTCGTAGCTAACTTTTCTGTTTTAAATTCTACTCTTTCATACTATAGTATTTACCGTATGGAAAATAATACAAAAAAAAGATGAGTTTGTTTTGTATTGAGAGTTTCTTCTCAGCAACATCTTTGAAGAGCAAATGGTAAACTATAAACTGGCGCAGCTTTTTCACAAAAGTGAAATATTCCATAGAAATAGCGGCACTTTGGAAAATAAAATATGGAATAAAAATTTTTATTGTGTTCCAGAGTTTAATGTTCTTTAAGAAGAAAATTAAATCTATCACGTTCAAAGTATTTTAATTCGATGAAAAATTATTTGAGTCCATTAGATAAAGTTTTGTGAAATTTTAGTGAGTTTAGAATATAAATTTAGAGAATGGTGTGTTTATCACACGTAGGATAATCTAAAACAAACAAATATTTTTTTCTTGTGTGTATATATTATTTATTTATTTAGATATTTTTGTATACATTATTTCAGGACAACTGGAAAATGTTCCAGTCATTAAGGTCTTCTTATGAAGCAAGGAACAAGTTATCTGTCACAAATTATCCTAACGGTAAGACTTTTATCTCAGATTTTTTTGGAAAATCTAATAGGAACTGCTCCTGAATACAATTATGATTTACAACATTGCAGGTAGTTTAATAGAGTAGTTTTAATTTTTCCCTAATTATGAGTAATTTTAGTTGAGTGATTATAAATACGAGTAAAATAAAGCAAAGAGACACCCTAAAGTCTGTGTTAGCTCTATATTTTCCCATCACATATCACAACATCGTTACATAAACACACCAACAATAACATCGCGGCCGCAAAGAACAACCACTGCCTCGTGAGAAGGCAAATCAATTAGTCAAAGAAATCTACATCTAAAAAGAGAATATAAGAAATACAGAAAATAGCTGTTGTATTTTACGTCTGACACATAACCATTTTGGTCGTTCTTATCATCGAGAAAATAACACACATTCTTATAAACCTCTACATTGTATTCAACTCTACTTTGCTTCATATTTTATACATAGCAACACTATTACTTATATAATAATCAGGAAAAATGTATTAAGAAAATGTATTTTGAAACTCTGTAATACCTTTCCTCTTATTGGAATGACTTAACTTACTGTTACTAATGTGAAACTGGTGCAATAATATACATGTGGAATTATAAAATTCATTAATGAGAAGGATACATTATGTTACGTTACACAGACAATTTTCTCTACTCAAACCTATGAGGAAGACGTACCGTAGAAATAATTGACGACTTCCATCAGTGGATACAGTTTTGTTTACGTATATCGAAGATGCCTAAGACTCGTTGATTTTCTATTTTATGAGAAGTATCAATGTATTTGACTACGTACTAAGAGGTTCTTTAAAAAATAAACAGTCAAATAGGCAGAAAGAAAATAGACTAATATGAAAATACTGACCGTTTACGTATTTAGTTTAAGAACAGAATTTCGATGAAGCATTTTGTGTTATCGCAAAAGAATACCAACATCTCCCTATACATATAGCTAAAGATGGGAAATACATCGTCACAGATCATGAACACAAACATATAGAATATCTACTTCTAGCAAATACATTCTCAGTAATGTTCACAACACACGTGGAATAAACGCTTTCTACAACAGATCAGTAAATATTACAGAACCCGCCTTAGCTATGTATATGTTTAGCTGAAAGTTCAGTTGTGTCACCCCTCTTGGGCAAAGTTCAAGCATTTTATCGTGGGTATTGTACATGTCAGTTTGGTCCAAGTAAAATTATAGGAATATTAATGGATTTTATTGGGTAAATGGATAAGTTAATTCAACCTAAAGAATATGGGTGCGATCCTCAAACAAAACTAGTGATTTTTAAATGTTGTTTTCACGATGTGACTTCCTGAAATTCTAAATCTTTTTAAATGGTTTTAACTCTGATTCCATCAATATCGTGAACCTTAAAGTAAGAACTAAAGTAGGACCAAACATGGAATCTCCACTTATCCGCTTGAAGAACCTCATGCACGAGGAATCAACAGAATTGGAAAAATCTTACGTTTTTCCGGGAGAGGAGTTGCATTCCGTTGCTTCTGAAGGAGACGAACTTGATTGTTGGGAGCTCTGGTGAGATTGGCCTTGCGATTGTTGGCTTTGGGTTTTGGATACCTGGCTTTGTCTTTCTTGTTCATTCAGCTCTTTGATGGCTTGGATTTCTTTCTTCAGCTTCATCCTCCTGTTCTGAAACCAGATCTTGATTTGCCGTTCAGTAAGACATAGGGCATGGGCCATTTCAATCCTCCGGCGGCGAGTGAGGTAGTGGTTAGTATGGAATTCTTTTTCTAGCTCTAATGTTTGATAACGGGTGTAAGTTTGGCGACCTCTGCGACGAAGTCCATTTGCACCTAAGAGAAGGATCGAGATATTCAGAGAAAAAAATTTATAAACACTTCAATTTCCATATTTTGAGGAAACTTGACATTAAACTTAGAAGAAGTTAAAATAATAATCATAAGAAGATAAAGGCTACTTGTATACTTTAGGTTTTCTGTTCAAAATGCGAAATTATTTGTTAAAATTAAATTCACTCGGTCAATAATTTATTCAGTTATGGCTGAATAAAAAGCTTCACGGATACATCTAAATAAATGTTTACACATTTGTTTCTTGCCTAAACTCATTTCACCCCCATTTTTTTGAAATTCTATATACACAGTTGGTGGGAACAGTCACTGAAGATGTAACCACTAAAAGGGCTTACACTTTAGGAGCAACTGGATAAGAATACAGGCAGAGAAAAATCTTGAGTTATATTTGTGTTATATAGCTACACGTGAAACGAAACATAAGAAAACAGAAAAACACTCATCATGTCCATCCATTCCCAAAAATACCTTGCTCTTCAATCAACATATCTATCCATTCCCTAAAAGTACCTTGCTCTTCACTCAACATGTCTATCTATTTCCCCAAAGTACCTTGCTCTTCACTCAACATGTCCATCCATTCTACAAAAGTACCTTGCTATTCACTCAACATGTCCATACATTCTACAAAAATACCTTGTTATTCAATCAACATATCTATCCATTTCCACAAAGTACCTTGCTCTTCACTCAACATATCAATCCATTTCCCCAAAGTACCTTGCTCTTCACTCAACATATCTATCCATTTCCCCAAAGTACCTTGCTCTTCAATCAACATATCCATCCATTTCCCAAAAGTACCTTGCTATTAACTCAACATGTCCATCCATCCTACAAAAGTACCTTGCTATTCACTCAACATGTCCATACATTCCTAAAAATGTCTTGGTCTTTTAGTAAGTATCCGCTGACACACAAATACCGAACTTTTTTTTCATTACTTAGTTTACTCTTTGAACAATATACATTGTCACATGACAAACAAAAACTACTCAAAACAGTGTGGGGTAATAGAAATCATTTCTGAATCATTAATACTAGAACATGTCAATACGGAACATGAAAGGTCATCACTTGCGAATTTAATCAATTCATATGGAGTGAAGTGTAACTTTGGGTTTCGTCAGATTATTGTAGTCTTAACCGAGATTCGAAATCTATACTTATTTTTTCATAAAGTATTATTCGTTTACTTATATACACAAATTCCCATAAACTTCTGGGGATACAGATTTCAGACTAAAATCAAATCTTATATTTAGTTTTTCGGTGAAAAAAAAGCTCCGATTTTTCATAACTTTTACTGTTACGCTTACATTCAAAACATCAGAAATTACTTGTTCCGTTCACATTCAAAACATCAGAAATTACTTGTTCCGTTCACATTCAAAACATCAGAAATTACTTGTTCCGTTCACATTCAAAACTTCAGAAATTACTTGTTCCGTTCACATTCAAAACATCAGAAATTACTTATTCTGCTTACATTCAAAACATCAGAAATTACTTATTCTGCTTACATTCAAAACATCAGAAATTACTTGTTCCACTCACATTCAAAACTTCAGAAATTACTTGTTCCGTTCACATTCAAAACATCAGAAATTACTTGTTCCGCTCACATTCAAAACATCAGAAATGACTATCTTGTTAAAAGTTTCCAAATTTCA